TGTTGGTTAATATTTCGATTGGTGTAGACTGTATAAGGGTTGGATTGCCGAAATTAAACATTTGTGAAACAAGAAAAGATTATATTAAAGTAATGAATAAAAGCAAAAAATAAATAAAGTAAAGGAAGGAGATGGTCCTGGGTGGTGGTCATAAATGAACTAAAATAGTGGCAAAAATATTTAATTTCAAGCCAAAGTTTCGACCTGACTTTGCAGGTCTTCTTCAGGGCTAGATCGGACAAGATAAGAAAGGATATAGAAAATTTTGGAAGTTACATAATATTTAGATCAGGGATAGATCAGCTGTGCTCAGGGATCAACCCCTGAAACACTAAGAAGAAAATATTTATATATAATTCTGAGCCTCACCATCATTTTTATATCAATTATTCCTGCACAGTTAAGCCTAGAAAAGTATGCATATTCATTGATTTTTTACCAGACATTATTAAAAAACCATGATGTTCTAAGCCCAAGTAAAATAGCCTGGTGAAGGAAGTATAAGGAAGAGGAGGCCAAGAAAATCAACATAATTTTTCTTTTTTACCAAGTGAGTCCTCGTTCAATATAATATAATTTCCGCCTGAAGCAGAACTATTTCATTGTCAACCCCACAATGCATAACTTAAAACTTATAATTTATATTTTTCTCTCTTTCATTAGCAAGTTTACATTTATTCTTAAGATAATCCAATGCACACATTTTTATTTATTTTTTTAATACTTTATAGTTGACCGTTGACCAATATTTACAACTGCATTGCAAATAAAAATACATTCAGTAGATGTGAACACAAAAATATAATAACATTAAACCACTTGTTGAGAAACTACCCACTGGTAGCTCTAAAAATATATTTACAAAAGGAGATCTCGAGATATATGAGGATTCCAACGTTTGTCTAATTGGAGCCCAAGGTATCGGATTTGTTCAACTGGGATAAGTGGGGTATTATTAAAGGATACTGCAGGACAGGGGGACATAGGTTTACGACGAAGGGTAAAGGTGATTTGATGAGATTTATTGGAATTTATTTTAATCCCCCAGTTTTGACACCATTCTTCAAGATTTGTGATAAATAATATTTAGATAAAAAATATAAACAAGGTCCTCCCTGAATACACCTGTAAGTCTCTATTTTTATTTATTTTATTGTATTTATTTTGTTTTTCTTTTATTTCTTCACATCTCTTTATGTCCATAATTTCATATTATTTATCATTTTCTTCCAATCTCTCCTTGAGATTTATAGGAGTATAGTAAAAATTGCATATATTATATTATATATTATACTACAGCAATTGTTACCATTTATTTACTTCAGTTTAGGATCTTGTTACTTAGTTTACTCTGTTTATATAGTTTATTATTATTAATATTTCAACGTACTTTTATGTTTATAATTTGAATAAGTTTATGATTTTTATCTAAATATTATGTAACTTCCACAATTTTCTATATCCTTTTGTATCTTGTCCGTTCTAGCCCTGAAGAATACGTGAAAAGGCAGGTCTGAACGTTGGCTTGAAATAAAATAGTTTTGCCACTATTTTAGTCTATTCATGACCGCCATCCTGGACCATATCCTTCCTCTAAAATACAACGGTCAACTTTTAAGTATTAAAAAAATAAAATAAAAATGTATGCACTTGATTATCTTGAGAATAAAGGTAAACTTGCTAATGAAAGAGAGAAAAATAAAAATTATAGATTTTATGTTATGCATTGTAGGGTTGACAATGAAATAGTTCTGCTTCAGGCGGAAATTATATTATGTTGAACAAAGACACACTTGGTAAAAAAAAAATAGTTGATTTTCTTGGCCTTTTCTTCATCTTTATACCTCCTTCACCAGGCTGTTTTACTTGGGCTTAGAACATCATGGTTCTTTAATAATGTCTGGTAAAAAATCAATGAATATGCATACTTATCTGGGCTTAACTGTGCAGGAGTAATTAATATAAAAATGGTAGCGAGGCTCAGAATTATATATAAATATTTTCTTTTTAGTGTTACAGGGGTTGATCCCTCAGCACAGCTGATATATCTCTGAATACTAGGAGGAAAAAAAAGGCGTTGGCTGAGACATCTCCTCCCTTAAATAACTAAAGTAATCGAAGTCAAGAAAGACGCTCTCCTTCCCAATGCCTGACTTGTCATATTTTCCTTTGTAGTTAGCTAATTTGCTGTCAACGCATTTGACAAGTTAAAATAAGTGGTAAAAGATAAGCGAAATTTTCGCGAAGAAAATACAGCATTTAGATCCATTTGTTCAAATATTATATAAATACACAACGTGATGACAATAGGTAGTGAAAGTGACGTAACAATTAGTCAGTACATTCAAGGGAATGACAAGACAAAGTCCAGATGCTAAGCTCTCGGGTCCAGCTCCCTTCCATGTTAATCCTCCGTAGAGAATATTTCAAGGCAAACTAACCCCCTAGCATTCGGACACAATGGCCAACCACCACCCCCTCACCTCTGAGCCAGGCGTGAATACGCCTCCAGGTTCATTTGTTATCTAACCCTCCGGAGCTCTTCAGTCATTTCTCCACTAACCTACATATTTTCTTGGTCTTTTTTAAAAAAAATAAAATACCTCAGAGTATTCTCAAGCTAGTTGTTTAGAGAAAATAAAATGTTTTTTTTTCTTAAAAGAATTAGTTGAAAGTTCAACATATCATAGGTGAAAAATAGTCAGGGCGCAGTCATTTTAAGATTTTTTTTTATTGTCAACATGTCAACCCAGTTGCAAAATGGTTGTCTAGTCTCAAAAAAAGTCAACCCTTGATATGCATGATTTCTATAACTGTGGACTTATAATGTTCGTAAAATAAATGAATAATAATACAATCAATAAGACTTAAAAAATATTTTTAAAAATCTATTTTATTTTCATAAAGGAATTAGTCGATTGTTCTACATATCATAGCGAGATATGACTACATAAATAGTCAGGGCGCAGTAATTTTTATTATTTTTAGTGATTTTTATTGTTGTTGTCGACTTTTCAACCTCAGCATGATAATAATAATAAATAAACACATACTGACACACTGTATTTAAGCTCTTGGATAGATAAATACATAATATGGTTTGTATTTCCTTAATTACTTCATTAACATTAATTATCCTGTTATGTTTATTATCTAATTATCCCTGGATTGTTAATTGATAATGAGATAAATTGGCGTAAAGTTTGTCGTCGGTGGGAGCAATAATTATAGGCCTTTATTATTGGAAGCTTGGTTAAAGTTGTGCCACCATTGGGCAGTCTGATCCGATAAATGGATTTCTCTCACTACCTACAAAATTAATTATAAACATGTGTTTGAAAATGGGGGGAGGGTGTCACATTTTTCCCGACACGATGAGCATGAATAAATTCAATTATTTACGACGGTTATTTTTATCTATCAAATAACGGTATTGGATTTTTTTCAGTTCCATAAAAGTTTTATCATTAATGTCTTTTTTTTTTCCCTTAGCCCTTTTTTATTTATCTTTGTATTGAATCCTTGGATTTTCGTTTTCTTCTTAATAGTCCTTTACTGCTAAAAAGCATTGTAAGGTGTGTTTTTTTTAAATTTTTTTTTTATCGTTTCTGAATATGTTTTCTACATCTGTAATATGATTGGCGATGGGGCTCACCTAAGGTTTGAGTTGACCTTATCCTCTAGAGCTTACGACTAAATTAAAACACCTATCTTATGTGAATTGTTGCCAACGTTTTGGAATTTCGGCTGGTAATAAGTTGTTGAAAAGAGGATTTGTATACCCAATGTTTTCATTCGTGGTTCCTCTTACTATTCTACTTATTGTTACATTTTGGAAATATTGTAACATTTTCTCAGTTGTTTTGCTGACATGATCAAACAGAGGTGCACCAAACAACAGAAGCGGACGTATTATGTAAGGATTAAATGAATAATTTTCAAAATTAGCTTCCTCTAAAGTACCTTAAATTTTTTTTATTTGAAACATTTAACTATTTCACATTGATCTCTAATATAAAAAATAGTTAAATATAAAATATGAAACAATTTGACAATTAACTAAAGGAGAAATGAGATATCGTAACAGAGGACAGTTGTAATGAAGGAGCCAAAGGGATACGAGAGAGCGCCCAAAAAATTAGAACAGGCTTCCATAGTAACATGAGCTTAATATAATACGGACTCCGACAATATTATGTAAATATACATATGTGGTTTTCCAAAATATTTTCGTTGGTATTATTTAATATTTCATTATATATATCACAGCGATATAAATATTAAAATTTGTATATATAAGGGTACTTAAACAAATAAAAATATCCACAATGGAATATGAATCAATATGGCGTTTATAATTTTTACTTCCACTTCCCCCCTGTCTGAAAATACTTATTTCTTCTAAGAAGAGGGTGTTAAGTGAATGTTATGTGATGCACGCACCGTATCAGATTTTTTTCATAACCCCAGTTTCATAAAATTCTTCAGTTAAGTTTTCTTTGCCATAGTCAATACGTTTCAAGTTTTTTTTTTTACCAATCCTCCATTCTATTGTATAATTAAGGTTTTGAATGTCAATCAGGATGATTGGTTAATTAAGGAAACACTTTTATATTGGATATGTGGTAGTCATAATTATCAAATAGGAGATGATTAGAAATGAGGTTCAGTTAATAAAAAAAAAAAAATCGTAGATATTTATAAAGTTGAAATAAATTCTTTAAATGCTACAATAAAAACGTAACAGTAACATAAAATAATTTATTGATGCATATATAATTACAATTCATAGCATATCCATTCATTTTATACAATGTGAAACTTATTCCTTAATTGAACTGAATAATATACGTATATATACATATATTTATATATATTATTTGTTCATATTATGTACATCAAATAGAACTATTAGAATTCATGGTAAACATTTATACAATAATAAAAGGTATAATAGGAGGATATTGAATGGCAGAGAGATAAGACTGTGGTATTCTAGGCACGACTGGTGGATGTTTGCAAGCATCTTAATACCTACGGCAAACACAAGCAGTAGTAGCAAGCAAACAGCCTACGGCAATACCTCGCTGTCGAATTCTCTACTTTGTTCTGTCCGAGTTTTTCTAGCTGGAGAAAACTATGGAAATAAGGTAAGTGATACAAGTAACTTTTTCACTGCTTTGAAAATATTTATATTTTGTTTTGTTTTTTCATATATCTTTTAATAATAATATTATGAAAAAATGTTAAAATATATCAATTTTATGTTTTAGTTCTTTTAGGTCTATTTATTTTCATTGGTTTGTTGCCATGAAAATATCTAATACGTACTAAATGTTATGTTATTATTATTATCATTGGGGTATTATTACTCTGGTATAATAATTAAGTATGATTAATTAAAAAGTTGTGACTTAAGGATGGAAAAATAAGTTTTTATTGCTGTCACTCAAAATAATTGTTTATTACTTATTCACTTTGTACTTTTCTTAGAATCATTCTCTTAGTCTTAAGTAATGAAAATTATGTGAAATAAAATAGTACCTTTTTTCTTCGCACCTGTCATAGATGAGATTGAACAAATATGATAAAAAAAGTAAAGTGAAAACAAAAGATAAATAAAATAGGTAGTAATAAAGTTTATCCTACAAAAAACGTCCATTAAAGATAAAAATGTATACCAAAGAACCATTTTTAGAAAATTGTATATAATTTAGAAATTTCTAATGTTACAGTATATTTTTTTTAAAACTACATATCATTGAAGAGATAATTTTGAAATTATTTTAAGTATGTTTATATATTTTTGTTTGTTTATATATAAACAGTACTGTAACTTTCTGTCATAATATAAGGGCAATGGCTATAGCGATAAGAGAAATCATTGACACTATATTTTGTTTTAGCTCTGACCGTAGTTAGATTTCATTAGAAGCCTTATTATAAAAATCTGATAAAATAGAGATACAATTTTTATTTATAATAGTGCTTTATTATTCAAGTAGCCTTTTCGTTTTTGTATATTTTATCCCTAATCTAATCATTTAAGAAAAAAAATTTTAGGAGGACTGTACTGGATTTGCGAGAATATAAAAGAGAAAGGTGTATTGGAAAAGGTGGTTTTGGGATAGCTTTCCTTTGCAAAGGTCGTGATGGAAAGAAGTATGTATACATAATTAATAATTTCTACATAAATACATTATATTGTTTATATCTAAAAAACAGAAAGTATTTCAATATTATTATTTGAGTGAAATTACATGCTAACAATGATGTGTCTCATTCATAACTACTATCACTTTACTTAATACAACCTAAATAATATTTTTTTAAAACGCACTCCATTCTTAATTGATTTATTTATTCAATTCATTTATTCGATGATATTATTATTCATTTATTGAAAAAGCTTTATTGTATTAAATTGTATATACACTTTTTGTTATTGTTTATATCGAATAGTTTTAAGCATCTTAATACATGTAGCATTTTAGAGAGATAAAGAGAGAGAAGGGAGAGAAAGGGAAATTAAATGGAAAAAAAGTGCTTGAACAAGGGAATATATATATATATATATATATATATATATATATAATATATATATATATATATATATATATATTATGCTTATATTTATATATTTATGTATAAGCTTTATTGATAGTCCTAAAAAATTATCAATATGCTTTGTGTCCAGCAATCCAATATAATTGGGCAGGAGAATTTTATATGAAAATAAAGTGTTTCTCTGTCTCTAACTTTTTTTTTCTAAAATATTGTTTTATAAAATATCCTATTGCTTTTTAATTTTCAATGAAAATTTTAGATATCGTCGGTTTATTTCGAAAAATCACTTAAGAGCATTTTTGGGTTGGGCTAAACTTTTAAGAACTGTATGAACATTTTTTTTTAAAATGGCACAAATTCTTTTATAGATCAAATATTGTTGGATCAAGTTCAAAATTTCTCGATTTTACGAAGGGAAAACTTAACAGAGTTCTCAGCGATTTACTAGTAAGGTTGTGGGATGTTATTTTTCGTAATGAACCGACGATATATGCAAAACGCGTTATAATTCCTCTCCTAAACAAAGATAAAACAAAATAAACCTTTAAAAAAATCCATAATTGTTTTTATGAATGATTCTCCAATTTTAATTGATGTTATTTAAAAACCATTTTCATTGCTATATTATTTACATATTAATATATATATGTAATTATATATTTATAATTACTTTATATGAGCAATTCATACTTTTTTTTTTCTTTGTACCTCAATGTAAATATCAGGGTTAACCTTTTATTTATAGACAAATATTACAATATACCACGTTCAAGGACAATATTTAATTCTAAAGAATGAGCATAATTATGTTTTTTTAAAGAAATTAATTAATTAAAATTAAATAATGTTAAACCTATTAACTTTTTTTTAAAACAATATGTTATAGTGAGATAGACAATATTAATATTAATTAAATTTTTTTTTTAGTTCAGAAAAAATATATATTGATTATTATTTGTCTTGTGATTCAAGTAACCATGTTAGTTAGAAAGTTACTTTTATTCTCATTATGTTTCCATTGCCTATTTTGAAAACTTTTGATTAAACAGATGATCGGTAAAATATAATATATAAAATAAAAATAAAATAAGTATGAAGATAAATAAATGATAATATTGTTCGATTATAATAATTTATTGTATAATGCTTGTAATGGCTGAACACAAAAAAAAAAATAAAAAATAAAAAATAAAAATAACTGAAGGCATTCTAACCAGATGGGAGTCAGCTATATAGGGACTAATGGAAAATCGATATATTTTGCAGGTGCGTCATAAAAGAAATATATGTCGGCCATTTGCCGGATGATGAAGTGGTCACATCATGCAAAGGTAAACCTTCCCAGCACCAGCACCACTACTACACTACCCTAATATCTTCGACACCGGTAATATTACAATAATCATTATCCTCCACTCATGCAGGAAAATAAATAGGCTTGTAATGACTCACATCAATTGTAAAAATTATAATAATAAAATCGATTTGGTCAGCGAACCCATTGCCACAAATTACTCCTCCACTTTACAGATACTACGGTCTATCTGATGATTTCATATAAACTGACCAAAAAGGAATGGGATTATTTCTATTCGATTAGTTTTAATTAACATACCCTTTTTACTTTCCTACCTATACTAGGTGAGGAAACTATTGCGATCGGGTCAAATTTCCGACATGTGTTTTCGACCGATCTATACGTTTCAGAACCTCCCGAGTTAGAAAACAACACATTTTTAACCATTGGTCTGTCTGTCTGTCTGGCTATGGTAAAAAGTTTTCGATCAGCAATATTAGCGGGTAATGAAATTTTCACACTGATCTACCTTAAGTCGGTTTGCATTGCTTTAGTTTATCAAATAAATCGTACTCAAATTTTTTCGTGATCAATTTTCAGATTCAAATAAATCTAATTCATTTTTTTTTTTTTTTGTTTCTTGATGGACATATGTAAAGATATAAATACTTTTCTGATAGGTAGGAAAATCGTGTTAGTGAACACGACGATTTTTTTCGTTCGTTATGGATTCTCTTATTTGTTAGTAAACAGAAACAGTAAGTGATAAATACTCTTTATTTTTTATAAATTATTAACTAAAGAAAAGTTCTACATGTAGAATTCTCATTGTGTAAACCAACAATTGTTTTCAACTTTTCTCAATTTTAATCCAGTAATTATCTGTTTAACTACGGAAAGTCCATAATTGAACCAGAAGTTCGCAGTTTTCTACAAAAACTCTTAATAAGCATGAAATCATCGTTTGAAACCGTTGGATCTACACAAATAAAACAAGCTATTTTGGTAAATTTACGGCCGTTATATACAATGTTTTATAGCAGTGTTGTCCAAAATCGGTCTTGGTCTTGCACATTGCACGACCAACACCAATGTGCCTAACTGTTGCAAGACCAAGACCAGGACTGGCAAAAAAAATCGACTTTTTAAATAAAAATTAATGCAAAATAGTTACTAATATTCGACAATTTTAGTTACTATATGTTAATAATTGGTACAACCAATATACTTTTACATTTAACTCTTATAATTTTTCATTCTGGTTTAGTTAGATTTCTTCTATCTAAAAAATTAAGGTAATATTTCTATAGTAATGAGCTGATAAGTAACTGCAAGACTGTTGCGAGACTCTTACGCAAGACCAAGACCATGGACAAGACTGAGTTTGCAAGACAAGAGTCGTCTCGGTCTCGCATTTGGGCAATTTTAATAACTTTAAAAGCTCTTAAGGATTTTGGCAACCTTATAAATGCTCGGTTGCTTCTATCTGTCTAGTCAGTTTTTTATTTATTTTATTATTATTTTTTTATATATATTTATTTTTGGATTCCCCTTCCTTGCCTTTTACGCTATACGGGGTTTTCCCTGGCCGCAGGAGAGGGCGGTTGAATTATGCAGAGTTAAAAGAACGCTCAGCCACCCCGCTCCCCTGTCTAGTCGTATTAAATTATGTCTGTTTCCCTTGATTTTAATTTCTGAAAATAAATTGAATAAGTAAATTGTAGTTTTTTTATTTTTTCCAATGATTAAAACCATCCTTGAGCAAGGCGACCTCAATCGTTTAAAATTACTTTTAAACATTTTTGCTATCCCTCCTCGACATTTTCCATACATGATGCTTGGTGGGATTGAAACTAGATTGCCCCTGCGTACCACCAATTATATATAATTTCATTTGATAATTATTTAAATAACCATAACGAGATTTTAAAATGAAAAAGTAAAATTTTAAAACATTACTTGATATTTGTTTTTTAAAACTTATTTATCGAAAAATATTACAATCTGTCTCTAGGACATTTATAATAGAGTTCACAGATCACATTCACACTATATGTAATTTTATTTATATTAGTAAAATTAATCATCTATTCTTATCCACAGACATGAATACAAATCAATAACTGCCAGAATATATATACATACATATATTTATAAGAATATAGAATAGTGAGTGTGTAACATAAATCCAAATAAACACATTATTTTTGTTCACGTTTACTAGTAAATATTTGTTGTTTAACAGAAGCAGCAATCCTTTCATCCTTGAAACATCCAAATATAATTGAATACAAGAACCATGCAGTCATAGATAAATTCCTTTTTATCGTCATGGAATACGCGCCTGATGGCGATCTCAGCGAATATATTTTGAAAATAGTGAGTAATATGATAATTATATTATTAAATGACATTAAAAGCAATGACTTAAAAAAAACAATGACGGTTAAAAAATGTCACAATGGTTGTTAAATAGATTTTCACAAGGAATTAATAAGTTAAGATATGATTCTCAGACTTTTTGATGGTAATATTTACTTAATTTATATTATATTAGGTATATACTGTTTATGTTCAATGTTTGTTTATACAGCTAATCCATCCCGACACTGTCATCACCACCTATACCGATGAAACATATTTCACATCAGTTAATAACGAACTATAAATTGCATTTCAAACTGTTCAATCACGTATCACTTAATTTATAAATAATAATAAACTTCAGAATCATCCTAATCCTTTAGTTTCCAACCTTCCTTCCTCTTCCATACCTGATAACCCCTAGAGGCGTCTGAAAAGAAGATGTCCTCATAAATCCTAATTTAGATGCTTTATTAGAGTGTTACGAATGGATAGATTCTCTACAAGTTTATTTTATTGCACTGTATGACGTTTATGATGCACGTATGTATTTAAATCAAAACAAAAAACTATTAGATGTGACTTTCTTGATTTTGTACATCTCCAAAAAATCCGTGCACTTCTTCACAAGTTTATCTTTCAAGGGGAAAATCTTGGCAAGGGGTCTAAATTTTAAGAATTTTTTTTTTTTTACATCTATTCAAATTTATTAAGTCTTTAATTTAAACAGTTTTTTAAATAAATAAATACGTTAATATACTGTATTATTACTCCATCCATAGATACTCTAATATAGAACCAAACAATACCTAAGTATAAAAATATTGCATGGTTCTTTTGTTTTGTTTTCTTCGAGTGTATTTTAAAAAATCTATTAAATAATTTGTGGACTAAATTTTATTATTGTTTATTTTCCAATATTTTAGCAGCCCGATCCTCCAGAGAAAAAGATAGTCGCATTGCTCGCCCAATTGGTGGCAGGGATAGCCTACATCCACGAGAACGGCATCGTACACAGAGACATCTGCGCCAAGAATGTTCTCATAGGAAGAGGAGAAGTTCTAAAACTCTCCGACTTTGGAGTGTCCAAAAGACTAGAGAGCATATCCAGTGGAGCTGTAGCTGGAAATCCAAGTAATTTAAAGATGAGTACTTAGTTTAATAATTCATAAAACTTTGGTATGGTATAGTGATGAACCCAGACGAAAGCCAGATAATTCGATGAGTTTCGAAAGGAACTATTTTAATTTATTTTTTAGAGGAGGAAATGTTACCACTGTGCAGTATCTTTTCAAGTCAAAATCCAGATGAAGAAAGAGGTGAAGCAAAGTTTCTACCTCGTAACATATTAATTAGTAGCTCCTCTCTTGCCTAATAAGAAGAAACTTATTTTTTCTTAAAGTTCATGTATAAAATTGTTATTTACAAGAAGATCTGGAGTCAGGACACCCTATTGGGGTACATCTATCCTGCCCATATTGGGTTAGGGAAAAAGTGGATACAGGTTATTTCCATGCAAAACCAGGTAACAACAATACCAAAATGCTGAAACCTATACAACTCATCGGTTACACGATTTTATTTGTTTATATTCTGTATTTTTAATAACGACAAAAAAACATTGATAATCATGAATGACTTTTTTTATTTATTCTAGTACATGACAAAGGATGGCATACTCAATGAACATTTCTGTTGGAGACAGGACATAAAGCATTACAAGGTTGTAAACACATATTTAGAACTCCAATTAACCGAAATAATGAAATGCGATCCGCTGAATTTAAAAATATTTGGAATATTTGGAAAAAAGAAATGAAAAATTCCCTTTACAAATAACTTTTTTCCAATGATGAAATCCGCGTTAATAAAGTGGTTATTCAACTAAATATAGATTTAGATGTATTTTTTTAATATATACTCATTAATATAATAACCAACACATTAAAACCTATATAATATTCACTCAAAACGATTTTTCAAGTGATGACATAATATTCATCCAATGCAGAATTGAATTTTTTACTGGCTGAGATTATATAAACAGAGCTTGATTTTTTTTTATGTAAGTAAATAATTAAAAACCAGTGACTGGTAAACCATCGTTGAGGTCATTGATCGTTAGCCAAACTAATGTAACAATGATTCATGTATTCAATATTCCATGTACAGCCTCGTGAGCATTTTGTGTTAACAGCGATGAAGATGTCAGACGGTCCGGACGACTGGATTTCTGTGCATAACCGGAAGACGGTAGGGTTACCTCCCACAAATTCAGGCCGATGGATGACGAAACGGTTAGGGGAGGATCCCCCTCCCACCCAATGAAATACAGAATATGATTCACAACGTAGAAGATTATTTGACGCTCGACTAGGGCTCACTCATGCGCTTAATAGTTCGGCAGCCCTTCCACGATTAGGGCTTCTTATTAGGTACGAAGCCCGCATGTGCGATAAGCCGTCCTCCCCTATCTTCAAAAGTTTAATTTACAAACCTAAAATTCATGATGTACTAATGCCTAGGAGTTAACTTTTTATTTTTGTTTCTTCTTCATACCTTGCCAACAATGGAGAATCATAGTTCATAATGTAACCATTTCGAGATTTAAAATTCCACAGAATTAGAGGTCTTCTTATTTATGCATTTATAAAAATATTATAATCCTTCGAGGCTTCTAAAAAGAAGATGGCCTCGAGACCTTCTAATATAGAAATATAGTTGGAGGGCTACCAATGGGTAGTTTCTCTTCATGCTGTACGTGTCATGTTACTTGTTTCATAGTTACTTATTGTATTTATCATTTAATACAGTTGTAAATTTTAATAATAAAAATATTTTTGCGTAAAATGAGGAAACGGGAAAAATAATAATAATAAAGAAATACTATGATTTAAAAATCTATTAATTTCAGCGTTTATTAGTTGAATAATTTAACATTTAAGATAAAAAAAATGTATATAAGAAAAAGAAGAATTGCGTAAATTAAAAGCTATCAAGGAAATAAGTTATCAGGTTAAAAATAGCTTTTTTCTCTCTAAGAGAAATATTTTGAACATTCCGTTGAAAAAAAATAATAATAATAAAACCTGAATAGATTTTTTTTTTAAAATTCATCTTGCTACAAGGTAAAAATATAGTTTCCTTATACAATAAGCACCTGATTGGTCCCTTGTAGCTCCGCCCACTGAGAATATAGATGAATAGGTTTCCACTAATGTTCTACATAAGGTAGGCTCTAAAGCTCTGATGGAAGGATCATAATTGGTTATGCCATCCTTCGAGGTCTCCTTATTTACGTATTCATCAAAATATTCATCGAAAAATACGGAAACGGAAATAATCGTAGTTTAAGAAACAAATAAATTTAAAAATCTATTGAATCGACATTAAATATGAAATTCGCTGTGCTTCATAGACAATAAAAATGAAATGAAAAGGTACTGTAGCCGGTTGGCAAGTATGGTTATAAGACTATAGGTATCACCTAGGAACACTAGTAGATCGAGAACTTAATTTGGGGGAGGAGGAGAGCTTTAACCTGAAAGCTTTTTTGTATGTATATAAATATAATTACTATGGAAGAAAAAGAAAGAAACTGACTACGTATATGAAATTGTATTAAAGTGATTATTGAAGTCCTTTTAAATTTCATTAAATGAACAATAAATTAGTTCTAGTTACGAGCCCAAGTTACTATAGCCATTACGAAATTTAAGACCGTAAATATAGAATTTTAAGATTTAATATAAAGATTATAAATTCCACATAAAATATTTGGATTTTTGGAATCAAGTTCAACAAGTATGCATAGTAATATATATATATAGTAATATAGTTAAATACAGTAATAAAACAAGCAGGAGCATAGTAATATACTGGCAAAATAGGAATTGCTTGAAAAGTCTTGAACATTGAAGTGGACTTAGAGAAACGACTATGTTTACTATAGTTACGGAATGGACTTAATCCGTAACAAATAATAATAATGATAATAATAATGTTATTAATTTAACTTTTATTTTGTTAACTATCCCAATTGGTAAATCATGTATTATCTTTTAGTTTCTCACGACTCAAAGCATAAAAGCACAAAGCCCTAGATAGCCAGGTCAAGCTATCTCTGATAGCTTAGAAATGGTTATCTAGAATGATCGACTGTACAGAAGACCCAGTATCAAGACTTAGGGAACAATAACCGATTTCATCAAAAGGGCACTTTCTCACAGACATCTTAAGAATATTAACTATTGATAACTTCCTTTGCCGTCCTCTTTCGACTTCCCTTCACCCCCTTGATATTCTAGGGAATATAAACCCCATGCTCCTCTGGACTAATCAATCATGCAGTTACATTCTTGAAGTTACACACTCCACTGTAGGAGACCTGGAGTGAACTCGTGTAGTCAAACCATACATCCATAGTATATTACTCTTATATTACGCATATGTTAGATGCCTTTTGTAACAGAGATTATGAATAAAATCATTACTTATAAAGTCTTCACTGCCTCCTAATCGTTAACTTATGAATCTAGAAGTGAGAAAGCCGAATCGGTTCAATTCCTAAATCAACTCAAGAAACTTTGAAAATGTTGCCAAAAGGTTAAAAAATAAATCAAGAAACACTCCCCAAAAACATTTGTATCACAGATACACTTCCTTTCGGGTTCAGACCTAATGTGTTCTTTCCCCAGATGCATTCTTAACAGGAATCAGATAAATAAGGGATACGTTGCCTCATAAAGGAAACATTGGAGCTCTTGAGCCCTGAGGGCCTGCGGCATACGAGGAAGCAGGCCGGAGGAAAACAGAGTTAAAGGAGGGCAGAGATACAAGTAAATAAATCCAGAGGGAAGACTTGAACCGCAAAGGCTATTTGAGCGTTCCTTTGAGAAGGGACATGATATCTTCAACCTTCCTCCCGTAATCCGCTTTACCTCTGGGGCAATGGTCCCTTTTGATCTGCCCACAATTTTCAATCTTTCATTTCGTCATTAGCCGCCCCAAGCTTATGTGTATATATAAAATCCCGAACGTACCAAATGGACCAGGATTTAGCCTCATTCTAAAAATAAACATTTAAAAATGTTTTCCAGTAAAGATGTAATTGTGAAGAGAAGGATGGTTGGGAAGAACAGTCAGAAATAAAAGGCAAAACATATAATAATATTTATTTTAACATTTGCCGACGTTTCGACCTGAAGTTCAGGCCTTCATCAGGGCTAAGAAAAAAAACAGATAACAAGGTATGAGAAACATAAATAATGTAGATAAAAACAAAATTAAAGTAAAATGAAGTGTACAGAATAATGATAATACTAGGAACTAAGAGATAAATAATAATAACCGTTACAAAGTGTTGAATAATGAAGTAAACATAATCAAAAAAGGTGACAGAAGTATTAAAATGGTAATCTTAGAATAAAATATATAACAGAAAAAACTAATATGAAGTTATATAAGAAATGAAAATAAATAGTCAAATTAATTAATAGTAAATAGTAAATAGTAAAATTAATTTTCATTCTTTTTCTCTGTTTTAACTTTTTATTCTGTTATAAGTTGTCAGTACATTTTGATAGACTCTACAATATCTCAATTTTCTATCTAACTATTCTATTTGCAATATCTTAATTTTACTATTTATTTTCATTTCTTATATAACTTCATATTCCTTTTTTCTGTTTTATATTTTATTCTAAGATTACCATTTTGATACTTGTGTCACCTTTTTTGATTATGTTTACTTCATCATTCCACACTTTGTAACGGTTATTATCATTTAACTCTTAGTTCTTACTATTATCGTTATTCTACCCACTTCATTTTACTTTAATTTTTTTTTGTATCTACATTTTATCTATTTATGTTTCTCATACCTTGTTTTCTGGTTCTTTTCTTAGCCCTGATGAAGGCCTGAACTTCAGGTAGAAACGTCGGCAAATGTTAAAATAAATATTATTATTTATTTTGCCTTCTTATTTCTGACTGATCACCCCAACCATCCTTCTCTTCATTATTCACGACAGTTAACCACACACTCCATTATCAACACTACATTATCATTCATGAAATAGTTAACGTTTCATTGGTATTAGATAAAATAATATGGCTGAATAAAATAGGAGTGC